CCCTAACGACCTCCAGCAACAACAGGATCAGATGAAGCCCGGGAAAGCCAAGATTTACAGGAAAACCAGGGCAGAAGTGTCCCAGATACTGCTCATGTGAGAAGGAGCCAAACACTTGAAGGGCAAAATTCCAGAGGATCTGACCCATTCCAGCTGATGTGAACCCAGGGATGGCACTGACAGCCAGCCTTGCTGCCAGGTTCCCCTGGCACTGCACCAAGGCTCTGCCTCCCACTGCAGAAACGGTGACAAGTATTTTCCAGCCAGGGCTGCAGACTCAGGACCACGTGCTCCCAGCAGGAATGTGGGAGCAGGGCTGTTTTTTGCCCTGCATGGCAGGAAAGGGGCAAGATCGAACCAGCCCAGCTTGAAAATCTGTCTTCTCCAAGCAAAGTATTCAGGGCAATGAATTCCAGCTCGGGAATCTTTTGGCTATCTAAATATCAGACAGTAAGAGCAAGCATTCCCTGTGGAATTCTTCCACCTGCTATGCAGATTCCAGAGGAAAGGGCTGCGCTGGAGCTTTTCATTTCCACCCAAGTCAAAACATCTTCAGGCAGCAACTGGCCTTAAACTTCTCCTCTTTGCAAACCCACCTCATTAAATCCAAAGCCGTTCCACAAAGGAATGCATTTCACAACCAGCCTCCCTTCCTGCTTTCCCACAGCTCAGCATCCCAGTGTGACCCAGGAACCAGGAGGTTTTTTACAAGGAAAGTCACCCCGACAGGGAAGTTCTAATGCTGATTTGTACCTGTAGGAGAAGCAGCCACCACATAAAACCACTGGCTGCCCTTTTCCTCAATCAATCCCTGGGCTTAGTCAAAGGGCCAAAAAAAAGATTCCTGAAGCTATTCCTAGAAGTCCTAAGTACTCTTCCAGTTACAGCCTGTCTTATTTCCACAGCAGCACCCAAACAGCCCCTACAACTCCTTCCCATCCCGCCTCTGCCCCCTCAGTCTGGCTGCTGCAATCTCTCCCTGGATTTGCCCACACAGCCCAGCACTGGAGGGCAGCAAGATGAGGGATAGGAGAGAAACTGGAACAACTGGGGCTGCTGGGAGGCAGTCCTGGCTGAGCTGGGTGATTACACCCTCTGAGCACGAGCTCTGACTTCACTGCTCCATTCACTGAGCTCTGTCCTACACACAGGTGGGAGAGCAGAGTTTTCCAGGGGTTACACATCCACTGTCAGCACCAAACAGTGTTCCAGGCTGGAAGGTCCTTCTTACCTTCCCTGCAGGACCTGCGGAAGGTCAGGGTGGAGTCCATCTCGTTTTTAATCTTGATCAGAGCATCAAGCACCATGGGCCCACACCTAAACCAGAAAACAGGATCAGTTCACCTGGATAATCCCCCCAAACTCAGGATTTGGAGGAACTACAATTAATGCACGTTTTTTTTTGCAATCACAGGCAATACAACAGAGATTTCTTGATGAGGGTGGGAGTCAAACCCTTCCTTCTGCCGATGCCCTGAAGGCTCAGACAGCACAACTCAATCCCTTGTAGGGGTGAGTGCTTTGTACTGGTTCTCTCTGCTTTTGGGTCAGGCTTTAACAAGTCAGTCTGTCCCCATTAGTCACAGGAGACACACAACACCAAACAGTCGTGGATAACTTATGTAATTTTCTCTACAGCAGACAGGGCAACACCCAGAAATTATCCACAAAAATCCGAGTCCTCTGTCACGGGGTTTTTAAGGAGGGGCTGGGGAAGTTGTGTGTGGAACTCCTGGAAAGGGCTCGGGGTGAATTCCTGGGGCAGGAGCAGAGCACCAGCTGGAGCTCAGGGAAATGCAGGACGTGTCCATGAGAAGGTTTCTGCACCACAGGGAATCTGAACCCCTTCCCAGAATCCCAGAAAAGCAGGAGCTGTCTTGGGGATACCCCACCAAAGTGTGCAGGTGGTTCCTTCCTATGCCAGGGCCTCCCCACCCTCTCAGCCAGGAACTCCTTCCCAATATCCCACCTAAATCTCTCCCCTTTAGTTCAAAGCCACATTCCCTCATGGGACCACCTGCCCATGTAAAAAAATTGCTCTCCCTCTTTTTTAGAAGCCCCCAAACTTTCCACATAAATGAAGTTTATTGAAGTCTTCAACATAACTGAGGGACACAGATAGAACCTCACAAAAGTCCCAGAACAAAGTGACCATTCCCTGCTGGGACAGTGGCACTCAGGGCACAGTTTATTTGTCACAGACAGGAGAGGGAGTGACAAACAACCCCACAAAACCACAGTAAAATCTGTTATATAACTGATTATAGTATCAGGGAATTTTTATTAATTATATTAAAAATATGTTTTTTTAAAAAGTTATATTATATAATTATATAGAAATATATAATTATACATAAATACATAATATGTTCTATAATTTTATAGAAATATAAAACACATATAATTTTAGAGAAATCTATTCTATATTATAAAATTTTATAGAAATATATCTTCATACATTAAAATACATAGAAACGCAAACACATTAATTATATATTACCAATAAATTCTTTGCAATAACAAAATTATTGTCCCTTAATCACCGAAATTTATTCTCTTATCAGGAAATACCATCAGTGTCCCCCGTGCTGAAGACAAGGCGCTCTGGAATAACGGAGCAGCACTTTCCAAGCTTCTACCATTCCCTGGAGCTCAGCGAGCTACTGACACCTTTAGCACCTGGGAAAAGCTCTTCCCGCAGGGAATACTCACTTGTTGAGGTCCACCTCGTAGGTCTGCATGCGGGGTTTGTCCCCGGCCTTGTCGGGGTCCCATCTGTAGATGGCGAATTTCTTGAGCCGCGGCGCGGCCGCCGCCGCCGTCTGGGCCCCCCGGCACTCCTGGATCCACGGGGAAAACTGCCCTCAGCTCCCTGCACGGGGAGCAGGGGGACAGCAGGCAGCACTGCTTTGTGTTTGGGGGTTTGGAAAGGGTTGGGAACATCCTGACAGGGATTTGGGGGAGTGGTGTAACCTGGTGATGCAACCCCCCCCATTCTGCCCCGGGGCTCCCTCCTGCACGCGGCACTGAAATAATCCTGGAATTAGGCGGCTCCCACAGGTGTTCCTGCAGGCACCGTGGCCTTCAAGCCCTGGAGGCTCTCCCTGCCCCCACATCATTACCTCCAGCAGTTCCTAAATACTCCCCACGCAGCTCCAGGCCATCGAACCACCTCCTCCCGCTACTCCCCCAGGCAGCTTCTTCCTCCTCCAGGCCACCTTCCCATCTCACCTCTCCCTAAATCACCCCACATCCCTATTCCTCCTGTTCCCACGCCTTTTCCCAACTCCCTTCTGGTGCATTTCCCCCCCCCTCCCAATTTCCTATCAACCTTTATCTCTCCCTAAACCATTCCCAGACCCCTTCCTGCTTCTCTTTGCCCCTGGACCCTCCTCAGCATCCCCCTCACTGATCCTCTTTCCCCTCGGCTCAGCCCCCTTTTCCC